TCTGCCTCCCCGGTTCAAGTGATTCTCCTGCCTCAGCCTCCTGAGTAGCTGGGATTACAGGCAAACGCCACCATGCCCAACTAATTTTCGTATTTTTAGTAGAGACCAGGTTTCACCATGTTGGTCAGGCTGATCTCAAACTTCTGACCTCGTTATCTGCCTGCCTCCGCCTCCCAAAGTGCTGGGATTACAGGCGTGAGCCATGATGCCCGGCCACAGCACCACTTTTTTAAAGGAACTCAGCACTTCCTCTCCACTGTAGAGTTAAATCAGAGCAAAGTCAGTATCTCTAAACAGCTTCTAAGAATTTGGGAAGGTTTTTATTTATTTTTATTAAAAAAAAATTTTTTTTTTGAGATGCAGCCTCACTTTGTCACCAGGCTGGAGTGCAGTGGCACGATCTCAGCTCACTTCCACCTCTGCCTCCTGGGTTCAAGCGATTCTCCTGCCTCAGCCTCCCAAATAGCTGGGACTACAGGCGCGTGTCACCACACCCAGCTAATTTTTGTATTTTTAGTAGAGATGGGGTTTCACCATGTTGACCAGGATAGTCTCAATCTCTTGACCTCATGATCCACCCACCTCGGCCTCCCAAAGTCCTGGGATTACAGACATGAGTCACCACATCCGACTTTGGAAAAAAAAAAACAAAAAACTTGTTAAATAGAAACTATGAATAATGTGTGCCTTCAAGGAAGAATGCTGTGTGGCTGGAAAACTTTTCACAATATACCCTTTTGTAACTTTTGAATTTGAACCTTGAGGACATATCTCCAATTTTAAAATAAGATGAAAATGAAAATCTCATTTAAAAAATTGTTAAAACTCGACTAGGCATGGTGGCTCATGCCTGTAAATCACAGGGTTTGAGGAGGCCAAGGTACGCCGAGCATTTAAGACCAGCCTAGGCAACATGGTAAAAACCCTGTCCCTACTAAACATACAAGAAATTAGCCAGGCTTGGTGGTATGCACCTGCAATCCCAGCTACTTGGGAGATTGAGGCAGCAGAGTCGCTTGAACCTGGGAGTCGGAGGTTGCAGTGAGTCGAGATTGTACCACCGCACTCTAGCCTCAAAGACAGAGTGAGACTCTGTCTCAAAAAAAAAAAAAAAGAAAGTAAGTAAACCAATAAAGAATGGCTACTCTGGCTGGGCACAGTGGCTCAGATCTGTAATCCCAGCACTTTGGGAGGCCAAGGCTGGTGGATCACAAGGCCATGAGTTCAAGAGCAGCCTGGTCAAGATGGTGAAGCCCTATCTCTACTAAAAATACAAAAAAAAAAGAAAACTATCTGGGAATGGTGGCGGGTGCCTGTAATCCCAGGTACTCAGGAGGCTGAGGCAGAGAATTGCTTGAACCCATGAAGCAAGGTGGCAGTAAGCCAAGATCGTGCCACTGCACTCCAGCCTGGGCGACAGAGTAAGACTCCATCTCAAAAAAAAAAAAAAAAAAAGAATGGCTACTCCATAGGCAGAGCAGCGGCATGGGCTGCTCAGCTGCTTATGCTTAGTTATTTTTTGATCATATGCTAAACAAAAGATGGATTATTCATGACTTTTCGAGGAAAGGGACCAGCAATTCCCAGAACTGAGGGATCCTCCCCCTTTTAGACCGCACAAGGTAACTTCCTGATATTGCCATGGCATTTGTAAACTGTCACGGCGTTACAGGAAAGAGGTTCGAGCCAGACCCCAAGAGAGGGTTCTTAGATCTCGCACAAGAAAGAATTCAAGGCAAGTCCATAAAGTGAAAGCATGTTTGTTAAGAAGGTAAAGGAATCAAAAAGAATGGCTACTCCAGCCTGGCATTGGTGGCTCACGCCTGTAATCCCAGGACTCTGGGAGGCCAAGGTGGGCCGATCACTTGAGGTCAGGAGTTTGAGACTCCTGACCAACATTGTCTCTGCTAAAAATAGAAAAGTTAGCCAGGTTTGGTGGCACACTCCTGTAATCCCAGCTACTCACGAGCCTGAGCCAAGAGAATCGTGTGAACCCAACAAGCAGAGGTTACAGTAAGCCAAGATGGCACCATGGCACTCCAACCTGGCTGACGGAGCGAGACGTCATAGACAGAATAGCCTCGAGGGCTGCTGGTTGCCCATTTTGATGGTTATTTCCTGATGATATACTAAACCAGGGGTGGATTATTTATGCCTCCCCTTTTTAGAGTATAAATGGTAACTTCCTGACATTGCCATGGCATTTGTAAACTGGTACTGGCGGGAGTGTAGCAGTGAGGATGACCAGAGGTCATTCTCATCACCATCTTGGTTCTGGTGGTTTTTGGTTGGCTCCTTTACTGTAAGCTGTTTTATCAGCAAGGTCTTTATGACTTGTGCTGATCTCCTATGCCATTCCGTGACTTAGAATCCCTTAACCATCTGGAATTGCAGCCCAGTAGGTCTCGGCCTCAATTTACCTAGCTCCTATTCAAGACAGACCTGCTCTGGTTCCAGCGCCTCTGACAGTGGTGCTGGTGGGAGTGTCTTTTACGTGAGAATGCATTATGATTAGCTTATAATGAGGGGTGAGGATGAACAGAGGTCACTCTTGTCACCATCTTGGTTTTGGTAGGTTTTGGCTGGCTTTTCTTTACCACATCCTTTTACAGCAAGGTCTTTGTGGCCTGTACTTTGTGCCAACCTACCGTCTCATCCTGTGACTAAGAATGCCTAACCTCCTGGGAATGCAGCCCAGCAGGTCTCAGCCTCATTTTACTCAGCCTCTATTCAAGATGGAGTCGCTCTGGTTCGAATGCCTCTGACATAGTGAATTGGGGTCCCAAGTTTTTATTTTCCTTTCACAAAATACTGCGAATCCTGCTGGAAGCCTCTTCCACACCACCTGGGGGTGATTCTGGAGCTCCCGTCCTCTACCCAACACTCAGACCTTAATACCCCCATCCTCAGGGGCTGATAACCAGCCCTGGGAGAGGAGGTGCTGGGCTCCCTCTGTCTGGAAAGAGGAGTCCTGGCACCAGCTGGTGAAATGATTTCAGGCCCTTTCCCAGCCTCTTCACGTTGTCCAGGACTTTCCTATCTGACCCTTCCAGGATCCAGGCTGGAGATGCAAGACTTTAAGCCTAGGGACTGGGGTTGTGAGGGGTCCAGCTCCTCCTTGGAGTTCAGGGAGAGAAGCCCAGCATGTGAGAGGGACTACTCAGAAAATTGTTTTGTGGTTGCTGTGTAATTTGAGGGGGAAAAATATTTTTAGCCAAAATCCACATCTGTGACTCTGCAGGAGAAAGTAAAGAACCACTGCGGCAGACGAGGGTTCAGTCTGCACTGTGGACCCTGGGCTGGCTCACTGGCTTTCAGGATACCAGCAGGGGCCAATTTCATTCTTGATTCCTTTCTTTTCGCAAAACTCTAATTAGTTGGCTGCCTGCCACCCACAGCGTTGCCTGAGCTTGTTTGCAGTCTGGCAGTGGCAAGATTATTTTATATTCCTGGGTTAAGTCTTTTTCCCCACCTTCTGCCCAAGAGACTGCCCCCCTACCCCTCTACTAAGACTTCCACCCCTACCCCACCCCACCCCATGCCCACGCCTGGTCGTTGCAGCCCCCTTCAGGCCAGCCTGTAGGCTTAGTTTCATGTGTCTTGGATCTCAATGGGATCAACAGCGTGATCGCTAATTATACCTTGTCTTTTGATTTGCAAAGCACTTTTACAAGCATTCTTTTACCCCACTCATCACTGTGCTTGGCACACAACAACTTAATAAATTCTGAATTGAATTGTCCTTATAACCACCCAGTGAGGCAAGCACAGCAGAACTAATTATCTTCCTCCTCCTCTCTCTCTCACTTTCTCTCTTTCTCTCTCTTTCTTTTTTGATCCTTTATAAGGAAATCCAAAGAATGTGTGATCCTGACACTAAGGCCACACAGCAAGAAAGTAGCAGGCCGATAGGAGAAGTCCAGCCTCCTGCTGCACAGTGAGAGGGAAGGGGGCCCTTCCACTACACCCATGTGACTCCAAGGTGTATTCATGAAACCTCGGTGGCTGCTGATCTCTTGATCAGCATTTGAGCGCCCCCGGCAGCATAGGCCCTTCAGAGCTAGCGCAGGTGTTCTTCCAGGCCTTTGGTGTAGGGATTGTTGTGATCTAGGATCCCACCTGTTTCCTTTCTTTTGCTCAGACGTCTTTCTGCAATTAAAGTCGCTAATGGTCAAAAAGCACAATTTAAAGTTGCCAAAGGAAAACGAATCAGTGTTTTTACTCTGAGAGCCCCTTCTCGGAAAGCCAAACATTCCGAATAAATAATCCTTTCTATTCCAGAAAGACACCAAAAAGGGAGCTGCAAAAATAACTCATTCATCAAAATACTAGTTTGGCAGATAGTTCTGCGATATCACCAACATCGCCTTTCCAGGTTACTGAGAAATCTGGGAACAAAGAGAACTTACATAGCAGTGGTGCCATCTGTTGCAACAGTTCAACCAGCCATGAAGGAGCCACCTGTCCCTTTGGTCTAAGAAGGTTTGGCTATTATTTTGCAGGAGTATGGTCAATCGTATCAAGAAAATTTATCTAGAACTTGGAAGTTAGACAAAATGATGACTAAAAGTCCTCTCCGAGTCTCCTTGAGCACTGTCCTAATGATCATCTCAGGGCCAGTCAACACCCTGGGGAAATGAAACTTTTGGTTGGCTTACAACTGATTGGGACCTAGACTCTAAGAGCATATGTTCATTTGTAGACAATTTGATAAGTTGCTGTGATGATTGATTTTATGTGTTAACCTGACTAAGCCATGGGGTGCTCAGATATTTGACTAGACATTATTTCTGGCTGCAAGGGTGTTTCTAGAAGATTAATACTTGAATCCATAGACTGAGTAAAGCAGATGGCGCTCCCAGCATGGGTGGGCCTCATCCAATCCATTAAATGTCTGAGTAGAATAAAAGTCTAAATAAGAAGAATTCTCTCTCTCTTTCTCTCTCTCTCTCTCTCTCTCTCTCTCTCTCTCTCTCTCTCTGCCTGTCTCTGAGCTGGAACATTGGTGTCCTGCCTTTAGACTCAGATTCAGTCTGGAAGTTATGCCATCAGCTCTTCTAGGTCTGGACTTCTTCGCCTTCATAATCATGTGAATCAATCCTTTTTAATCAATCAGTCAATCAATCTCTCTCTCTCTCTCTCTCTCTCTCTGTGTGTGTGTGTGTGTGTGTGTGTGTGTGTGTACACACATCTCATTGCTCTGTTTCTCTGTTGAACCCTAACACAATTCCCAATAAATTTTGTCAGAGATGCACATGACATATGTCCAATACAAGAAACTGGTTTTATTGCCCTCTAGGAAAAGTGAAAGGAAAACATCTTGGGTCCCTTGAAGCTGGGAACTGCTCAGGGCAAATCTGCCTTCCATTCTATTCAAAGTCATCCCTCTGCTCTCTGAGATAGATGCATGTTCTGATTGCCTCCTTTGGAAAGGCTTATCAGAAACTTAAAAGAATGCAATCATTTGTCTCTCACTTACCTGTGACCTGGAAGACCCCTCCCTGCTTCCAGTTGTCCCCGCCTTTCTGGATGGAACCAATGTACTTCTTACATATATTGATTGATGGTTCATGTCTCCCTAAAATGTGTAAAACCAAGCTGTGCCCTGACTACCTTTGGCACATGTCCTCGGGACTTCCTGAGGCTGTGTAATGAACACATCATTAACTTTGGCAAATAAACTTTCTAAAATGATTGAGACTTGTCTCATCATTTTGACATCATCAACCAGTTTTGCATTCAATTTTCCATCTTATTCTACCATTATTTTTCCCACTAAGTATACATTTTCTATTGTTCTTCAGAAAAATCAGTAAATAATTCTTTGTGATTTTTTGTTTGTTCATTTTTTTGAGACAGGGTCTCTGTCACCCAGCCTACAGTGCAGTGCTGGATCTCAGCTCACTGCAGCCTCAACCTCCCAAGCTCAAGCAATCCTCCTACCTCAGCCTCCCAAGTAGCTGGGACTACAGCTGCATGCCGTCACGCTGGGCTAATTTTTTTTTTTTTTTTTTTTTTGGTAGAGACAGAGTTTCGCCATATTGCTCAGGCTGGTCTTAAACTCCTGACCTCAAACAATCCGCCTGCCTTGGCCTCCCAAAGTGCAAGGATTACAGGCATGAGCCATTGTGCCAGGCCATCAATAATTCGTGTGCACTGGATGTTCTTTCTAAAACAAACTACTGCTGTCTAGAGAAGGAGAACAAAGGAATCTGAAGCACTCAGAACTCTATTGCTCACTCTCATTCACTGAAAGCTCCGGGGCTGGCATCCCACGCTATAGCAGAAAAAAAAAAAAAAAAGGCAGAGCAGAGGAAGACTCCCCTTAACGTTTAGCTGCAGCCAGGCCCAGCAGGAACTTCCTCACCTGGCGGGAGAGTGATCTATTCTAAGGGAAGGATTAGAGACACAGGCTGCAGAGGCCTTAGTTTGGGGCAAGTAGGAAGCCCCCACGTGGGATATCCTCTAAAGGTCCAAACAGAGGCTCATTATCCAGAGTCTCGTTTTCCACTCGTGGAGATGAGTTAGCTGAAGTGCTTACACCGCCAGCACTAGCTTGGAAGCCCATGACCACAGGGACCTTGGTTTGTTCTCCTCCCTATCCCTAGGAGAGGCAACAAATGATACGGTAAAGGAAGGTGAATCTAGACTGCAGAGCCAGTCTGATGAGGATGAACTACAAAAGGACATGAGGGAACTTTCTGGGTTGATATAAATGTTCTGTATCTTGATGAGGGTTCTGGGGTGATGGAAACGTTCTGTATCTTGATGAAGGTAAACATTTGTCAAAACTCAGCAACTGGGCCAGACACAGTGGCTCATGCCTATAATCTCAGCGCTTTGGGAAGCCAAGGCAGGTGGATTGCTTGAGCCCAGGAGCTCCAGGCCAGCCTGGACAACATGGTGAAACCCCGTCTCTAGAAAAAATACAAAAGTTAGAGGAGCATGTTTGCACATGACCCTGGTCCCCAGCTACTCTGGATGCTGAGACAGGAGGATCACCTGAGCCCAGGGAGGTTGAGGCTACAGTGAGCTGTGTTCACGCCATTGCACTCCAGCCTGGACAACAGAGTGAGAAGCTGTCTCAGAACAACAACAACAACAAAAATATGATCAATTGCATACTAAAAATGGATACATTTTATTGTATGAAGATTATAGCTCAATGAAACTGATTTAAGAAGAAAAAAACTATAAATGAGTTCATAATTTCCTACATGTTTAAGATGGTTTGTGACTCATTCTAAGCAATAAGGCCTGACTTCACTCTCTTACCACATTCAGAGGTAACATTTCCATTTCAAATGCAAAACTGACGTAAGTGCAAATACTTTGGGAGACCCAGTGGAGGCAAAGCCTTTCCTTATGTGGGAAATCAGAATTTGCCATCCCAAATAAGCCTCTTTGGCGTAAGGATTGTTGAGCTGAAGACGACGAAGCAGGTGCAGGAAAGATCTTTGCCCTTTCTCTATTTGCCTAAAAGCGGACATAAATTTACAGACAAATGGTTTCCCACCCCCACCCCCTTCTTCCAGGAAGCACAAAGGTCTCCCACTGAAGACAATGTTAGACCCTCAGTGACCTGAAGGTGGCACCAGAGGAATCTACATGAACAAGCTTTACTGACCAGCCTTCACTCACTTGCCTTCCCACAAGTTGCTGCCCCTAGAGATTCAAAATCCTCTGTGTCTTGTCACGTCTCTAAAAATCTACTGTTCTTGGTCGAAGATGCTATATAAGCTGGGATTCAAAGCCACCACTATGAGAATGACTCATTTCCTGGGTAGCTCCTGTGTATGTATGAAAGGCACTTGTTAATAAACTGTTTTTTCTCATTAATTTGACTTCTGTTACAAGGGTCCATTCCAACTAAGAATTCGTGAGGATTGAAGACAAAGCTATGTTTCCTCTTCAACGCTTATATCATCACCTTTAAAATTAAAAAAAAAAACTAAGATAAATGTATAATTTGACATTAGCTGATCAAGTGCACTTCATTTCAGCTGGCAAAAAAGAAAGAACTGTGAAAAATTAGAAGGAACGTTAAAGATCACCTAGTGGCCAGCTCATTCACTGATGACTCATACAGATGAGGTAACCGAGGCACAGTTGTGGAAAGGATAATTGGGAAATGCCTTCCTTTTCCTTCCAGAATCACATCTTTCAGAAATCTTCCTCACTTCCTCTTAAAAAACAACACAGTGACATTTCTGCAAATAAGAGTCTAAGAAACACCCTCAACACAGGCACTTCTGATAATGAAAATAAAAGTGCCTTATACTTAAAAAAAAAATCTAGCATCAAATCATTCCAATAGATCCAGGATGAAGTTGTATTTTTAATTACGTTTCCCTCAAGTAACAGGATAACAAGTCCTTTTGAGATAATAAAGGCTTTGTCTTTGGTGATAAAAAAAAAAAATCAATCGAATTTATTTTCTCTAAGTCAGGGACATTGATTTTTAAGATGAAAACCTGCAGTTGTTACAGCTGCTGCCGGCATAGACTTCTTGCACAAACACATCAAGATGTTTCTATTTGTTTTCAGATCCTTGCCAAAAGTTGAGCAATGACTGACCATTCACCACACCTGCTTTGGCCTGCGTGAAGAATTTTAGTGTTAGTAGCACTAACGTGCATGGTATTTACTTCACTGGACATCCAATTCAATTATTTCAATGCACTCTGACAATACCTGCTGCGTGCAAGAACTGTGCTATGTGCTGACGGGGAAGTTGCCATGTAAGGTGCTAGGAGGGGCGGGTTAGACACATGGTGAGAGGAGATACAAACCTCGGGTAGCAGCATTCACTCATTCATTCAATGAACGTGGCACCAAGCCAGGGCCTGACGTCTCCATTCCAGTAGATGCTTTCTTGAGCTATTAAGATACCTCTAAACTGAAACCGCCTTCGCAAAATTATGACTGAGACAGTGAAAGAGATCTAACCTAACTGACTCCATCTTGCTTCTGACCTCCAAGCTGTCCTTGTTCATTCCTGGGCACAGGCTGAACTAACTTTGGGAGAAACTTAGTTTATAGTTTATAGTTTAAACAAAGATGGTAACAGTCCTTTCCCAGAGCAGAACTCCTTCTCTCCTGGGCACTAGATTGCCTTTGCAGGACTAACATTAGCCACAAGATGAGAAATTATGGTTTAGGAGTCATGCAGCTGGAGGCTATAGGATTCTGACCCTCCCTAAACTGTTCCTAAGATTAGTGCTTGAGATAGTTTGCAGACCCTGCGCTTGATGGATCAGCTGGCAGCACCCAGATCAATAAACTGGCTCATCTGATCTTGTGGCCCCCACCCAGGACTGACTTAGCACAAGAAGACAGCTCCAACTCCCTATGATTTTATCTCTTACCAGTCAGCACTCCTGGCTCACTGGCTTCCCCCCAAGTTATCCTTAAAAACTCTGCTCCCTGAATGCTTGGGAGACTGATTTGAGTAATAATAAAACGCCAGTCTCCTGCACAGGCAGCTCTGCGTAATTTACTCTTTCTCTATTGCAATTCCCCTGTCTTGATGAATCGGCCCTGTCTAGGCAGCGGGTAAGGTGAACCCCTTGGGCAGTTACAAAACTAGAAGAGAAATGAATGTCAGGCTGTGGCTATCAGGACAGTAATAAAATGCGATGGGAGTCCTTTACCAATCTTTATTCAGTTTACCTAACTATGAGCTTCCGATTCTAGCTCTGCTCCCAAGGAAACAGACCCTATTACAAGTTACTTACATTAGCAAACAAACTACGTTAATCCATAAACTAATTAAAACATATTGTAATGATTTCCCAGTTACATTCCTTAACAACTTTCATTTTGGATACTGAAACTGAAAATCATGCACTCCAGCCGGCCCTTCAGGAATGCTGAAGTCCAGAGCAGCTCACAGGTTATAGATAGATCTTGCATCTGTAAGAGACAGATGCACCTCAGCATTCACCTTCAGCCCAAACCTCTGCATAGAGAACTACCAGACCTTTAGCAACAGCAACCTAGTATCTTCCGACCTGAAAGAGAAAACCCATATTCCGGGCATCAGGGAATAAAGAGAACAAAACGGGCTCCGCTGGGGATGGTGGCACTTTGGGGCTTTCTTGGTCCATCTCATCAAAGCCATGGTTTGGGATGGAGGGAAGCAGGCACCTGCTGTTTTAAGTACCCAATGTCACTTTAAATATCCAAAGTGACATTTTCCAGGTTCTCCTGCCCAAGTTCTTTGAAGACCCCAAGAGTCAAGAAGAAGGTTTTGAAGATAACGGCTGTTCTCTGGATGGGCTTCTGCAAAACAAACACTGGCCACTGCACTTGAACCCCTCTGGACAGCCACCCTGAGTTGGTAAGGTAGTGATGAGGTAAGGAAGGGGGAGAGGAAGCAGTGAGCAAGGATTTGGATTGGTGAAATCCTTCCAGCAAGTTCCCATGCAAGGGCTCTTGCCACAGAGGCCCATCAAAGGCCTGATGCTCCAGGAACATTGCCTTCCAGGCATCTCTGACGGCTACCCCAGAAACCTCTAGCCAACGATCCTGGGTCACCTCAGCCCCCAGTCCCTCCCAGATCTGGTTTCTAGTTTATAAGGTAAGGCTCTCATCCTGGGGCTGTTAGGTAGGGCCCCCAAAAGGAGACTCACCTGGGCCCTTCTCTCCCCCTCATCTCCCAGGGGAGAATGGGGTACGTCTTGAGGCATATTTTTAAACAAACTGCCTCCTCTCTTCATCCTGCCTTCCACTTTCAAGCCAAGATTTTAAACTATGGACAACCAGGGCAAAAAATACCTAGGCCAGAGTGGATTCAAAATCCTCCAACAGTGAGTGACAAAGACCCTTGAGAGAGAGCAGCCTGGAGAAGGAGGAGGCCCCAGATGCCTGGGGTGGGGGTGGGGGAGAGAAGGGAGGGGAAGGGGAGAAGGGATGGGAGGGGGTCCCCAGAGGGGCGGTCATTGGACAGTGGGGATGGGTTTCCCGAGCACAGTTGGGGCCGTGGTTAGTCTCAGGATGGCAGCTCAAGCTCAACCCTGAGCCCTGCAGGCACCGTCCCAATCCCACACCCAGCCCAAGGGTGGGGCAGCTGGGCTGGAGGAGGCTGTGAGCTGAGGCCTTGTCTGCTCCCTGGAGGCCCTCTGCAGAGCCGTGGGAAGAGGCAAGGCACTCACCAGTGGGGAACCTAGGGTTCTAATAAGGGCCCAGAAGCCCTTTAAAACCAGGTTCAAGACCATCAACCTGTGAGTGAGGAAGCTGCTAGAACCCAAACTGAGGACAAAGAGGGGTGATGAATGAGCCCTGTTTACCATGAGACTGTACTAAGGGCTTGCCAAGTGAGTTGCTGGCTGACATTTTCATCAACGAGAGCAAAAAGAGCTTGTTCCATCAGACGCCCCCACATCCTAGTTTTGACCTGCTTTTTCTTTTGCACGGTACATTTCCCCACCTGGAACCTGACAGTCCTCCCACAGGTAAAGTACACAGCTAAAAATGTGAGCAGTGTGATGGGGTAGCATGGCTTAAAGGCCTAGAGCTAGGCCCATTCTTCACTAAGTTGGTCCAGAAGTACTGGAAACCTTCTAGGCACCTTTCTATTTTCTCCTCTTTGAGTTCACAGTCCCATTAGGGTCTAGTCCCTCCTGGAAGCATTGGTTTTCCTATCTGGTACACTCTATTTCCACCCGCTAGTTGGAAGTGGAGATGCTGGCTTTGGTCTCCTGCATCTCTGGAAGGTGACCCTCATGATCGTTTTATTCTCCTGAAAGGCCTGTGTGTTTCTGATTTGGTGACTGTTCAGGAGACCCAAGATTAAGTCTTGGGAAGAGCATCATGAAGGGGAGGCTGGGACCCGGCCCTTGCTGTGGAGTCCTTACCTGGTTCGCTTCCTTCTGACACAAAAAGGAAGGTAAGGGGAGCACTGTCCTGCCACGGCTCCCTCTGAGTCCACGCTCCAGGCTTGTGGACTTGTGGATCTCATTCCCATGGACAGATGTCCTTCTCCTGCCCTTCCTGGTCTCTCTCTCAACACTCATCTGTCCAATCTTGCTACTCATCTGCTACCACGATTTCTCTGCTGCAGTTCCTGGTGCCTCCCCAAATCTCTTTTCCCGAGCAAGATATAGGCTGAGTCATAAGCTGAGGTACCCTTCAAGGACAAGGAATTCCCAGCTGGGATAAAGTTGGTCACCACTTTCCTCCGTCTCTGTGTCAGTCCATTTGCAGTGCCATAAAGGAATACCTGAGGCTATGTGGTTTACAAAGAAAAGAGGTATATTTGGCTCACAGTTCTGCAAGCTGTAAAGCATGGTGCCAGCATCTGTGTCTGGTGAGGGCCTCAAGAAGCTTCCAGTCATGGCAGAAGGTGAAGGGGAGCATGCCACGTGGCGAGAGAGGGAGAAAGAGAGAGGAGGAGGTGCCAGGCTCCTTTTAAACAGCAAGTTCTTGGGTGAATTCATAGACTAAGAACTCACTGGTCACCAAGAGACTTAGGTGATAGTGCTAAGCCATTCACGAGGGGTCCACCCCCCATGACTGAATCACCTCCCACCAGGCCTCACCTCCAACACTGAAGATCACATCTCAACATGAGATTTGGAGGGAACAAACATCTAAACCGTATCAGTGTCCTAAATTCCTATTTCCAGCTTTGTTTCCCCTGGATGTTCTTAGCTCTTCTCTCTCCCAAAATGACCAGATTTTCACTCCCTCTCAGTCCATCTCCTCCTCAGTTCACAGGACCTTCTTTCTTCTCCTCAACTCGCCAGTGTCTCTTACCTGTGCAGCGTGTGCCTTCTGTATGCTGGCCACTGTACATACATGGACTATCAATAGAAATTTTTCTTAAAAACACTGGATGGGC